CACACACACACACACACACACACACACACACACACACACACACACACACACACACACACAAATGCCAGTGAACAATCACAAAATCCTCTACAGGAGGCGACTAATAAATGGGAAAATTGGAAACTAATAATAGTAACATTTAAAAACCTAAGATGTCTCTCCTATCATTTACATGCAGGAATCAGTCACATGTGCACACACACACACACACACACACACCCCCACACACACACACACACACATACACACACGCGCACAGACATACACTCTGCTGAGGGGCTGGTGGCTGACAGAGGTCAACCCCTGCCATAGAGAGAGGGAACTGGAGGAGGGAGGAGTGGAGGAAGGAGAGGAGAAGCGAGAGACAGCCCTGTCGTTTACAGAGAGTGGAGGAGTAATTAGAGGGGATGTTTGAAGAGGGAGTTTAACTGATTAACAAAGGAAGAGAGGGAGCGAGGGAGCACCCGAAAGATGGGAAGGAGAAGGAGGAGAAAGGCATGGAGTCCCAGAGGAGTGAAGAGAGAGAAAGAGGGGGGATGTAGCTTGCATTTCAATGAGGCTCCATCCCTCTCTCCTCTCTTCCCTTGATGACTTTTCATTCTAACGAGGAGGAAAGCCCCACTTTCCATTTCAGATGAAACCCCGGGAAGAGAGGAAGGAGGGCTATCTGATATTAAACCAGCAGGCAGCCTGGGGAAATAGGCCCGGTGCAGCTCAGCACCATGTTTATATAGAAGACAGGCTGGTTAAATGACTACACAATCTCTAATTTAGGAGTGAACTTTGGATTTCACACCTTCGCCATGCTTCTAATTGAGGTCTCTGACTAGAAAAGTACACCCAAAACACAGCAGCCTTAACAACCTCATCAGACATTTTATTTAATGTATGCTTGTCCACCATAAACGATCACATTTATAAAAAAAAAAAAGAAAAAAAAGAAAAATAAAAAGATGCTCTCAAGAATGTTTTGTCCACTCCTTTTTGGGGAGTTGACATAAATTCAGAAGAACACACAAACTATGTGGCAGTTTATAAAAAAGCAACAGCGAGTGCACCCTGAACGCTCCCTTGAGCCTCACAAGCAGATAAATCTACTGCTACAGTTGTTCACCCCATGCTGGCTCAAAAATGTGCAGCCAGTATGTGTGTGCAAGCGTGTGTGTGTGTGTGTGTGTGTGTGTGTGTGTGAGAGAGAGAGAGAGAGAGAGAGAGAGAGAGATGCCAGTGAGTGAGAAGAAAGGAGGCTATAATCAGAATCTAAACAGGCTCTCAGTCTAAATGATGCGGGCCCTGCCTCTGGGTCTATGGGGACACGCAGGAGAGAGGGATAATTGAAAAAATGACAAGGAGAAAGCAGGAGGAAGAGAGAGAGAGAGGCTGACACAGACCTCCCCTCCTCCTCCTCCTCCCCCGGTAGGAGCAAACCACAGCGCTGTTTATCCTTGTCACTGAGCATTACCACCTCTCACTGGAAGGGACGCCTGCCTCTCTGTCTCTCTCTGTCACACACACACACACACACACACACAGACAGAGGTACATAAAAACTGCCCTCTGTCTTTGAA